TCTCTACTGGCCAACATAACCACCATCGAGTGAATCACCGAGAATCGAGTTCCAAATCGATTTACATCGTTAGTTAGTCGATTCTTGTTCAACAAAAACATGTGACTAATATATTTTTGTGTGCTTTTATATTTATAGCGAAAAAACCATTCTACCGGTAGTCGCTAACGCCAGGGACTGGGTCGCGTCTGATAGGAAGGATACATCGAGCAATGTGCTATTCGACCTCATTGACAACATAAACTTTCACAAGGTCAATGTCAACCCTTAGAACGTTACTTAGAAACTTGTTGACGATATTTTTATACAAAAAATAACGAAAATCACAAAAAAATGTGAATGCACAAATTGTGTTAAAGTATTTAATTAAAAGTATTTAATTTCGCTTTTTGAAATCATTTTATTTATATATATTGACTGTGTAGTTCTGACTAATTGAGACCCTGTATCTATACTACGTAGGTATGTATTATGTGCTAATTGCCATATAATTTCGCTTTGGCTGTTGTATTAGTCTTTAGATTTATAATTGTCAATTTACCTAGTGCGATTCACACGATGCCTTAATAACTTATCTAAGTCAATTTCGAGGGTATATTGTTTCTCGTTGTGCGACCACTTTATTTATTAAACCTTGTGATCTAAGTCTTGCCTTTCTTTCTACTTGTAAAAGGACAATCTATTGTGTTCAATGTTTTTAAGTAAAGCGGTCCTACAACCAGTCTGGTGTTGCCAGATATATAATTTCTTTTTATTAATAGACATCCTAATGGATGGTAATAAGTGCTTGTCATGTAACATAGTATATAAGAAATTTATTGAAAGAGTAATGTACGTGTTATATTTTAAGTATTTATTTATATGGGAGTACGCACTTATTATCTGTGGGGACGCCGATGGTGTTGCCGTGTCACATTGAAAAGAAAAGAATGAGATTTTTAGATGTAGTGTTGCCATATACGCCATCGGTAGGTCGCTACCTAACACTAATGTTAAGTGACATCTAGTTTTACTAATAAAAAATAATAATATAAAAATATTTTTGTTCTCGAATAAGAACTATCGCGTTAATTGAATGTTATCGATATTTTTACATGATGGTAAAGAAATACTTTAGCGTGTAGTGTGAATAACACCTGAGTTAGATCGCATGCGCGAGCCGACCATGAAATGATTGGGGAACACTTTATAAACGTTACTTGTTAAGGGTTAAATTATTCGAATGTTGAATTATTAATTTATAATAATGTGTACACTTAAAAACAACCGCTTAGCTGTGTGATCTGATCTAATTAAATATTTCTATCTATCTATAGAATGTAAACTATGAAACTGAAATAAACGATTTAAAAGTATATCATTGTTCGTTGTTTATTTGTGTTATTTCCTTTTAATCCTATCTGGTCTCTTCATGACAAACACAATTTCTCTTGACAATCGGACCGTTTTTTTTCATCACTTAGAAATTGGTTGATATAAATTTGGTTCAGTTAGAAAGATTAAAAAGAGGGTATGGGTTGGTAGGTACTTGTTTTTTTTTGTTAATTATTTTATTATTATTTTTGATCAAAACAATGACAAAGAGGGTAACATTCCATTGTTGAATGGGAAATAATAATGGTTTCGAAAAACAAATTAATCTCCAGCAATCTGTGGCTGACTATACAAATGAATCTTCGAATACAAAACTAAACTTCCGAATAGAATGCTGAACCTCCGTCAAAATTACTAAGTTCCAAAGACAACAGAGGTTTTAGCACAGATGATACACTATAAAATAGCTAGCTGGTTTTTAGGATACAGAGAATAGTTTTCAGTACAGTAGAACGTAATTTATGCTGGTAAAAAGTATTTAGCGCTATTTACACGATGCCAAGGTATTTGCCTGTTGCATACAATAAAATTGAAGCAATAATAAATAACTTGCATGGTCTAAACAGTGGGGCGTAACATTTGATCTATTGCGTAAGTTTTGCTTCACAAAATTTTCATGGTGCAAACAACACATACAATAATTTCTTACGCGATTCTTGCGTTCAATGATTTGTTTGATTTAACATGAGTGCAGTAAGTTAACTCGTCGAGTACCGGTTTTATAGACACAATTAAAGAACAATAGGTCGCGGTCACCGGTGACCGCTTGGTGTTTGACAGTTTAAGGTGTGTTAATCGTTGCTGCTCTTCTGAATCAAGAAATATTGAGAATACGTCGTAAAGGTGTTGAATCAAAAAATGGATATATGGATAGATCGAAACCTTCCAAAACTTGTACGAAAAGTTTGACAACGCAAATAAATACCTAGGTACGTGCAATACCTGAAGCAATCCGCCAGTTTTTTATTTTTAGGTGGTAAATCATCGAATGTCTGCTCCCGCCTGGGTGAGGCGGGAGAGAGTGTCAGACTCTTACTGACTAAAAACCGCCCCGTTCCTTCTCCTGCACGTCGAGCCGGAGCCCCGGTTACCCGTTAGGTTCTCCGCGACTCCGAATCGGCATCGGCCCTGTTGGGCCCCATCTGTGGTGGTCTGATGGCTCTATGAGGGGCGCGCGGAACACGACGCGCCGTACGCTCGGGTCTGTTTCTGGTCAGACGGGGAGCCACCCATGCTCGCCGTCCGCAGGCGCGCGCTTACGGTGGCCGGAGATCGTCCCGTGATCCCCGACGCCCTGTGTGTCCTTCGCGATGGCTGGGTTGCGAGGAGGCAGCGCTTCGCTGCCTCACGCGTCCCGCCTCCTCCTTAGCTAGCATGACTGCTTCGCAAAAGGAGGAGACGGCATCCGCCAGTGAATGGTAGTAATGGTCCACGTACATACAACTCTCGGTTTCGAAAAGTCGAACCTTGAACGCAACAATTTCCTTTATAAGTATTGGTCTAAACAAAATACATAATTGCAACTATTTTTTATCAATTATACTATATCCACATACATACCTACTATATAATACCTACTTGTATCCACGTGTAACTTAAATGATAGCATTCAATAATAATTGCTCTTGAATGTACAAGAAAATTTTATCGTCTCTAAGCGAGTCTTCATAGCAATAAATAGTTGTGTTTATTTTTGAAAGATTTCAGTATTTCTGCGGTCGTATCGTCATTTTTATTCAAACAAAAGTAGTCGGTAAGCTAGTATTTTAGGCAGTAGATTTAATATTTTCAGTTAGGACAATTCTTACTTCTTTGTCGGAAATTTTATTTATAGCCTGCCAGAATTACACTTCTCTTTCTATGGAAATGTACCAGAGCCGCAGAATAGACAGAGCAACATGATAAAATATTTATGTGTAGGTTGTTTTGTTGCACAATTTATATGAAATATTAGGACTTCATTTAATAATCAAGTACCTAAGTGTTTTTAAAATGGGTAGAAAATGGATTCAGTTAGGAGAAAATGAATGAAAAATAACCAGTGGACCGTCAAGAAAAATGTATGTAGGTAAACTTACTTTATAGAATCAAATATACGATAATTTTTTTTTTTTAAGGGGTGAAAATCATCGAATGACTGCTTCCGCCTGGGTGAGGCGGAAGGGAGTGTCAGACTCTTACTGACTAAAAACCACCCCGTTCCTTCTCCTGCACGTCGAGCCGGAGCCCCGGTTACCCGTTAGGTTCTCCGCGACAATATACGATAATTAGTCCGACAAATATCTAAGGAGATACATATGGGGTCACCTGGAAAGGTTTCTGGGAGTTTTGAAAATACGGAATTTTGTAGATAATTTGATATGCTTTTATTTTAGATTTCTATTTTGCACCTTTGTACGTACGTGCGCCGATCGCGCCGCCATTTTGGAAAAACGGCGGCCAAAAACAGTGTTTCTACGGAAGTAGAACCACTAAAATACTGAACTAAATGTATTACTAGATAAATAAAAACAACAATATCTGGTCTTCAGCTCATTTTATTGATAAATTCGACAATTTATTTAATTGTGTGACTAAATACGATTCTTTAATAACTAATTTATCTTTGCAATATCACAAATGTATAGCGTTTATACTAACAATATAAATAGATCAATTTTCTTACTTAATACTAGATTACAGAGACTTTGAATAGAGTTCCTTTATTACGACCCAGTTTTGCATAGCAGGGACATAAATTGGACTCTTGTAAACTACCCAAAATCTCTATATACTAAAGTCATAGTCATATGTAGCCGATAAATGTCACAATTTTGCAAAAATAGCTTTTTACATAAATATAGGTAAGTTTATTACTAGTCATATTAGCATCTCTGAATGGGTAAATTTATCAGTGCAAAGCATCAAGGCGTCATTCTGAAATCGGATATAGCAAATTCGCCCTTAAAAGTTAAAGCACATTTCTTCTAGATCAAAACTAACGTTGTTTTTAATCTAAAAAGGAAAATACATAGTACTTTGTCCTCCATATACAGTTATTAAGAGTGAATTTACTATGCTATTGTGAGTGAATTTACTATGTATAGTGAATAGTTCAAATTGATTCCTCAATGCGTTGTATATTGGCTGTTAAATTGTACAATATTTGATAATATTTAAGCGTCGTTGTTGTGCAATGGTATAAGCATATAATTTTTAATGTGTCGATTTAATTTCTTATTTTTAATTTAAGACTGGTATAAAAACTAGATTTATTTTAATACAATTTCGAATTTTAGTACACAATGCACTAAAATACTCACAATGTGAGGTTTATACATTTTTGAGTTCCATCTGGCTTATTTAAAAAATAAGATCAAAATAATATAGAATAACAGACTATAAATTAAATTAAAAATGCAATACATTTAAGATGAAGTAAGATATAAAATGCTTTACTATAAATGCACAATCAAAAACAACGCTTATTGCATACAACCAAAAGTTGATAACAGAATAAATAATTCACTACCTACTACCTAAATTGTAGTATCTTAAGCATAAAGAAACAAAACAAAATAAGGCTACACTAACAAAGTAAACTAAACTTTAATAAGTACAGATTAGAACTCAAATTCGTCCTCATATCAGTCTGTCCCGAAGTACTTTTGTCCGAAATGGTTGGGAGCTACAGGATGTAGCTCAGAAGTTAGCATCTTCATTTTTGGTACATAGTCGACTACTGCCTGGGCGGCTGCCGGGGTGCAGAACAAATTCGAGAGGATTATCCTTTCTTCTTTCACACCGTGCTGGGTTAATACGTTCACTGCCTGAAAATGATATCAAGGTTTGGTAATCTATATATACCTCTATAAAAGAAAGTCGTGTTAGTTACACCACTTATAACTCAAGAACGGCAGAATAGATTTGGCTGAAAATTGGTAGGGAGGTAGCTTAGAGCCAGGAGACCGACATAGGATACTTTTTAACCAACATTTTTTTTTTACGTTTTACCGAAAATGGGATTACGCTTACGAAGTCGCGGGCAGAAGCTAGTTACAATTATATGACTGTTAGCGCGGTGGGTGGACAACTGGCTGCCGCACAACATGTCGCGGGTCCGATTCCCGCACGGAGCAACTCTTTGTCTGATCCACAGATTGTTGTTTCGGGTCAGGGTGTCATGTGTATGTGAACTTGTATGTTTATAAACGCACCCACGACACAGGAGAAAATCCAAGTGTGGGGCAATGTTTTTATAAAAAAAACAACAAAACAAAGCTAATGTCACCATCTTTCAATGGTAATCAGCACCGATTAAACGGTAATTAGCGAAGGGAAATACTGAAGTGCACGTGAACATTGTATTTATAACATGCGAGACCAACTTTTGTTAAAAGAGAGTCAAATGTAATTGACTCACTGTTACCGTACCAATGTTATAATCCTAAACTCCACAAATATCAAAAATGCAAAAAGACTCAATAATAATAATTGGCTCTCGACCCTGGCTGGAAGTAAACTAGAGGGGTCCTCGCCACTCAGCAATCGCATAATGCTAGTGAAACAAGTGAAACAAGTGAATTTATTTCTGCAAATAGGCTACAAGGCAGCACTTTTACACGTCAATTTTATCAAGCAAACGATGAGGTCGACATTTCCTAACTGACTACTCTGAGAAGAAATGCCGAAACAAACTCAGAGGTCTGTCTCTTTTAAAGTCCAGACAATATGTATAATAGATTATGTGTGAGAACCGTGCAAGTTCTTTCTGTAGTGGCCTTTTGAGGAAACTATTAATTGCCTATAGCAGATCTATGTACTTAATATGTATAAGCAATTTGGAATAGTTTTTAGTCACAATTATGTGGAAAACTCAAATCAAAGACAGCATAATTACCATACACAATCAACCATTTAAAAATAAATTACACTTCACCTGTTTTACAGTGTTGCCGGTGGACATGATAGGATACATTAGCAGGACCTGCCTCCGCGCTATGTCCTCAGGGAACTTGGCGTAGACCACGTGAGCCTCGTGTGTGTCCGTATCACTCTCGACCAGGATTTTACCAATACGGATTGACCGACAACAGTCTCGGAGACCCTGGAAATGTAAAGAGAGAATATTCTTAAAAATGTATAGTGTAACGAACACCCAGCGCCATCTAGTATATATATCCAAAACAACTACAACTACAGACGACTATTATGAATATTGAGCACACATGCAAACCATCCGCTTTATAAGCAGAGTTGTCTTCGAATAAATTATCATTCTACTAGCTAGAGGATCAGAGTAGAGGTAGCCTAGCGGCCTACTCTGAACCTAAATACGACTAACTCCAGATCAATAGCCTAGCGATCATCTGGAATTAGCCAGCTAGGGGAGGTCTGAAAGACGATAGCCACACAGTCCCTTTCCACTCCACTAAGAGTTGCCATTATCGTGATTAGTTTATAGTAAATTAATGTAATAGTGAAGTTGCCAATAAATAAATAACCATCAAGAACACCGGCTTTTCATTTCATTTCATAACCAGCAACCCTACAATAGTAGTATATGTATGTAATGTACTTTATTTTGTCTGTGACAAAATATGTTGTTTCTAATATGGCATGACAGCCTTCCTCGACATGACTTTCCAACCATAGGACAATATTTAACTGATCAAGATCCAAGAGGTCACCAGTCACCGCTCTCCACTTATACTTTATTTCTGATGTTTAGAGTTTACTTTTATATGAACAAATTTTGTGGATTTTTCATAAACAGACATTTACGAGTAAAGTAAAACCTAGTTCTAGAGATTAGTGTATTAAAATAAACTAACAAACTGTTCAGTTCTATTAAATATGTGAACAGTATTCCAGCACAGCATTAGGACATGTGCATGGCATTCATTATCCTTTATTTATCTTTTATCTTAAATATAAAACCACAAACCTGCTCCATAGCCTCTCCGGACCTGACAATGGACACTCCACAGTTACCAGCACCATATTTAAGTCCTTTATACAATGCTCCAGTCGGAGTCACCACCTCACAGTCAGTGAATGGTAGTTTGTTTAAACTCTCCTCAATCACAAGACGGATCAGGCGGTCTGCATAGAACTTGAAGTCACTTCGAGATGTGTTTCTGCAAATTTTAAGATTTGATTTTAAACTGTCAAACACCGTGCGGTCCGGTGACCGCAACCTATTGTTCTTTAATTGTGTCTATAATGACGGTACTCAAATAGTTCATATTAGGTACTTAGTTTTTTTATATTTATTAGAAATAAAGAAGGCGATGTTTTTTGCAGTAAATAGCGTATACTTATTTCTTAAAAATGAACATGTGTAATATGAATAACTATTTAACTAACACCCGAATATAGAAAGTCTCTATCATTTTTCGAAGAATTTGTTGTGACAGAACTATACTTAGATGTGTCTTGAAATGAGTGCCATTTGAGTAGCTTTTTGGACCTATGTATGACAAACTATTGAATTAATATGTGATTGTTTTAACATTTCATAGTAGTTTTTTTAGACTATTTAGGTCTTAATATTTTTCACTGAGAAAATTTCATATTTTATATTATAATTTTTGAGTAATATGTACAAATTAACTATGTAGTAAATAAAATTGATGTTTTGCATCAATGGCTTTCAATTCGAATTTCCTTAAACTCTCTTTAAGTTTCATTATTGTGTAAACATAATACTCATGATTTCCTTGTATGCTAATCAGTATCTGTCAAAATGTTATTGATTGAAGATAAGTCATTGTTATTGTTGATGTAATTTTAGAAGTTAAAATAGTCAGACCTTAAAAGACTAAACTTCAAATAGCACATAGGCTACATTGTAATTAGTATTATAATCAATTCCAAGCGTAATTAATGCAGTATTCAAGAAATAGATAAAAACGAGTTCTTGTTATAATAATGCTAAAAATAGAGTAACATTCACATTGGGAAAACACGGCTCATTTACATGTAACGCTGACGTACATTTGTAAAATAATAGGATAGAAATAGAAGTCTCTTTCAAAATGGGGGAAAAGATTTTTAATTGTATTTTCAAAGATTAACCAAAGCAGGCAAAGGTAACAAACCATAAGGCCTAAAGTAACCTTACTTGTCTCGTAAAATAGTTTGTAGTTCCTTGATGTTGTCGTTTAGCGGCAACAAAGTAAGATTGTCTCCAAACTGTTCCTTCACATCAGCTGCATCCCACTGCCTAATCTCATTATCAATTAATTCCATCTTGAAGACTTGAATTAATTTTATAAACAAAGTGCGAATTATTGACGTGCACAGTAGTTCTTTGACAGCAACTTTGAGAAAATTGACGTTTGGAGTTTGACATTCAACAAATCAATGAAGTCAGCTGCTAATGCTGCGTTCAGACTAAATTTGCGTAATTTTAAATATGGTATCATTGTATTGCAGTCGCACTGCATCACGTAACTTTAGAACAACTACATTTTTACCGGACTGTAGGAAAGGTACGTCTTATCAGATACGCAGGTAGGTACTTTTTTTAAGGGTGGAAAATCATCGAATGACTGCTCCCGCCTGGGTGAGGCGGGAGGGAGTGTCAGACTCTTACTGACTAAAAACCACCCCGTTCCTTCTCCTGCACGTCGAGCCGGAGCCCCGGTTACCCGTTAGGTTCTCCGCGACTCCAATCGGCATCGGCCCTATTGGGCCCCATCTGTGGTGGTCTGATGGCTCTTTGAGGCGCGCGCGGAGCGCGACGCGCCGTACGCTCGGGGCACGCAGGTAGGTACTTCACGTAGTCGCAATAATGAAAAGTTCAATGAACAATTTTCTCCATGCCACCGTTGACCATAGCCACAGTAAACAGGTCAATAAGTATTATTTTAGATTCTGCTTCAACATCAAATTAATCGTACATTACTTTATTTCTCTATTTAGTTGGCACCTGTGAAGTACAGAAATAGGAGCAAAAATTGTTATTCGTTTGTTTTATAAATAAAAAGAAGTAAATGATTACGCATAACTCTTTATTTGCCCAGAAAATACAAATGAATGATTGCAAGAATATTTCCACTTTAGATTACAATGCTCTGTCGCTATATTATAATCTTTAGTTCTGTTCATGTTGTAACCACAAAACTTCCTTCACAAAAATATATTTATTAAAATATTTTATTGAAATATGGAACTGTAACCGCTAATTCGTTCTACCGGGAACATGTACAATAACAGTTTTATTTGTGAACAGTGTTGTAAATTTATTTTTATGTTTAGTGTGACTACAGCAGAAAAAAGAACTTACACTTTAAAAAGTTATTATGTTCTTATTTCTACCTTATTGCTGTACACTGCTAGTATCTAAGTTACAACACTGTTCGTAAATGCGAAAATATTTTACAATATATTAAATAATAAATGCGTTAGTGATTACAATTTTATCAACTATTTATAGCCTGAATCATTTCTCAGAAACAACTCAGTTGTGGACAGGGTTACATCATAATCATTTAACTAGGGTACATAACGAAATAAGAGTTTTAGAAATATATCAATAATATTCTGAATACAAAAGTGCTTCAAAGACAAATAATAATAAAAAATTTAATGCATTAATTGCAATTTTACCCTGGCTACGTTTCGTGTAAATTCGTTGACGATATTATTATTATAATAATAGTTTTATTGCATTGCTTGTGATGATAATATTAGAACGTCGAATAACACAAAGCGTACCAGGGCGACATCAAGCGAAATAGCTTTTCGTTTACAATTGAAATAACATACTCCAACTGCGTTGAAGTTCGCATTATAATAATTAATCTCCTTCGTTGAATTTCTGTAAAAGAAACATGATCATGCAACGAAAATAAATAAAAAATGGTGATAAAAAATATTACAAAATAAACTCTTCGCAATGTACTTTGTTTCGGTGGCGAAATTAAAGGCTAGATAGCTCAATCGTAGTGTTTAGTTCGCCCTAATTCCCGAACCCGATTATATCTAAATCATTCCCCACCTTATGAGTGACTGTTAATACTACAAGTATTCCTAGAACTCACCATCGTTAAGACAAAGCAATGAACTGGACAAAAATAACAGCCTATTTGAAATAGCCTATATTAAAATTGTGACTTCTATATCGGTACTAGACGAAATTGACCTTCGCTAAAACTATGCTAATTTGCACACTGACTCTGTAAGGCCCTTAGGAGGTACCGCGACCGATCGCGCTCGATACTAATATCAGCTTAATTTTTAATCGATCTAGAATTACTAGTCACACAGCGAACGACTAAATAAGTCTTTAACCATCTTAACAAATGTTTCGAAGATAGTCTTGATTCAACAACAAACCGCCACTAACGGGTTAGTAACTAAAAATTAAACTAGCAACTAGTATCAACTATGACCCGACCGATATAAAAAACGCGAGCCCTTTTACCGTAAACAGGTCAATTAGCGGACTGTTACAGGGCATTATCTATACTAATTTAGTAATAGTGAAGTTAGAATATCGCTATTTAGCGCTCCATCGTTTATCCAAAGCTTTCGTGTACTTTAATGAACGGACAAAACGACATTATGTTAACGCACATCACAAGGCTGACATCAGAACGTCACCGCGATTGGACATGAAGAGACGCCTTATATAATAATTTGTATGAGTCCAATATCAGCGCCGCGGACTAAATCTAATTAAGTCTATATATTCACAACGACCGCGTTTACGTTAGATAAATGCCGTCGGTTGTAAAGCTTTCACGCGATAACGTTAACGCACAAGTTAACGTAAGTGCGTGGAAGTGTCCATTTGAACTTTGTTTCGCCCGTATATCCGTGGCGCGTAGTGGGAAGCGCACATTCTTTGCTAAACCTAGTCTACGAGTGTAAGAGCTACATTTAGAGAAGAATGTGTGTTCGTATAAAAGTATTTACCTCGAAATGTACACTAAAACGCGCCTAAACTGTAAATTTAGCCGGAACTCTTCGTTAATATTGCTTATTCCTCTAGCGGGTATTACATTATTACACTTTGTGCACTTGTTTGACAAGCATATCAAAGTATTACACCTACGCACCGCACTCCAACGGTCAACATGAAGCGCAAAACATCGTTTAACATTTACAAAGTGTAGGTAAAACTATCCCTTTACAAATAAATTATTTAAAAAAAAAAATCACTAAGTTCTTTCCTTCATTAAGTAATAAATACGACACAATAACAACAAAGTAGAGCTTTTATACAGGTCTGGGTGAAACAATAATTTAGGAAGGTGTACAAAATTTAATGAAACAACAAAACATTTGTACGGATTCCTAAAACAATAGTTGTCAAACATTTCGTTACTGGGAATGTATTATTCCAAACTTATTACATGATTCGAATAATTCAAATAATCTTAAAATAATTCAGGGTCCCCTAAAATCAATTTTCAATCAATAGATTAATACAAATTCGAATATTTCAAGCTATGTCAAACATAAAATCTTGAACAACATAATACGAGACCCATTATAAATGAATTTGTCAAACACACCATATGTACTACGATTGTAATTATTAACAATTTATAATATTTACGTAATGGAACATTATCCATAATTAATTCACTAGTATTACTAAAATTATATTTGCGAATTGCATTAAGCATAGTCATGCCCAAACTGCATCGAAATTGCATCAATGTTTTAAAACTTAATCAAATTAGTTCACAAAAACCAAATAAATGTACTCAAATCAACTAGAAAAATCCGTATAATTTTAGAAAAAATACAACACAATAAAATGGCCCGTGTGACATATTTAGTTATATCTCGTTACACTAAACATTATTTACAACATTGAAGTCAGTATTCTACAAACGACTCTAAAACTGAGTACTTACGGTATAATATTAATTAATGGACATTCTGTCAATTCGATGCAGCCTTTACCACAATAGCACGTATCCTAAATCATCGGTACACAGAGCCTATATAAAAGCAAGTTGTGACACAACGAGGGTCGCCATCATTAATGGACTACTGACGCTACGACTGCTCGAATCAAACCGAAATCACTAATTCGCTTTGTACTACAATTTAATAATGCAATTAGTTAAGGTTGAAACATTTCGAAGAGATTGAGTATTTATTTAAGTTACATCTATTTTGTACATAGCCCGTATTAGGCTGTTGCTTAACTATGAGCTCACGATACTCACGCTTAAAATATTAATTTTTAAAACAGTTTTATTTGAAAATCCAACATCGAGATTTTCAAATATAACTCATTAGTTAACCTACGTTACGTCGTGTGGTTTGATTCGGTCAGTCGCCAGCTACCGTCAGTTATAACAAGAGCCATGCATCGGCCGGAAGCAAACAGTCGATCTAGCGTGGAATGTAACACGAGGCGACCTCTCTAGCGTCGGCTGGCCACGATTGGACACCACTGCCGGTACTATCACGGATTATGCAAGTGTTAAGTAGGATTCGGTGACAACTAAGTAGATGCGAGGATATCGGACACTGATGAAGTATTGGCAACATTTTCACCTTCCATTGCGTGGAATGGGAGGCTACAGGTGTCCGGTAGTCGCGGCCAATCGTGACCAAATAAATAACAGCCATAACCTGTACAATATAACTAGCACATATCACAAGGTGACGCCGACTAGTGTGCGACAACGCCGTTCCTCTGTCGCGGGTAACCATTGTTTACGTTGTTGTAGTTGACTTTCTTGCTGACGGGGACGTCGGGGATTGGTTCGGTCTTGGCCTTCTTGCCAGTTTTGGGGGAGAGGTAGGCTTTGTAGAAGAACTGTGCGAAGAGGACGAAGTACGAGAAGTACATGGCCATGGAGAGCTTGATGTTGATCTGGCTGATGTGGCAGCTGGTGGGCGTGGTGCTGGTGGCCATGTAGTTGTGCGCCCACACGTTGATGGCGCAACCCACGATCATCTGCGTCAGCTGCAGCACCGTGATGGTCATCGCCAGCATCTTCGGCGGGTACTTGCCCATGCTCACCAGCGCGTAGTACGAGTACATTACACTGGAAACAACAGAGATCATCGTTAATAAAGTCACACCTTGTTACTTTATTCTTAATTGTGTAGGTAGTATATTTAAAGACATCTAATATGTCTTTTTTCTGTAATAACTACCGCAATTATATTTTTGTACTCTTGTATTTATTACTCTAATAATTTAATAGTCCATTGTTTCTCCGTAAAATTACTGACGAACATAGAAGCCATTATAGTTGGAAACTCGTTAAGAATATAAGAATACATATTAAAGTTTATACTGCTGTTTCATGATTATGAGAAACTATCTTAAAACTATAAAATATGATAATAATGAGCAATTGTTTATTTGCAAAATTCTAAAAAACTTTTGATTGTGAAGCGATGATAAGAGAGTTATTTCTAGTGTAGTCTCTATAAACGTAGACTCAAAGACTAGAACACATGATACCTACATTAAACCTGACGTAAACGCTGTATCAGGTAAATGTGAGTACATAAATGTTAACAGTACATTCGTTAGTGGTAGTGTGCGTCGACAATTGCAGGTCGGGCTATGAATAGAGCAATTTGCTTGGATCAAATGCCAGCCTTCTGCGAAACGCGTCGCTTCACCGAGCTGATACTTCAAAGGAAGCATTCGATACTTGGGAACGTGTATTAACCTTAACTGCAGTTTTTGTTAAAGGTAATAATTTGAGATAGTTGCGTGTGAACTAAAGATGGTTTGAAATTCACATAACTGGATCATACAAAGTAATATCTCACAATGTAATATGATTGATTGTTATAGCTAGAAAGCAGTCTAAAAGTATAGTTTTTTTTGAGGTGGGAAAATCATCGAACCTCGGCTCCTGTCTGGGTGAGGCGGGAGGAGTGTCAGACTCTTACTGACCAAAAACCACCCCGTTCCTTCTTCTGCACGTCGAGCCGGAGCCCCGGTTAATCTATAGTTTAGCTTTTTCATTATTACCAAATTTAGACTAGATTTTTTATTTTACTAAGAATTGTAAAATACAAAAAAATGAACACCAAAAGATTTCCAAATCCGACCCCAATTACATAAGTAATAAGCCTAAATTGAAACATACATATAGATAACAAATTTATCTTGCAGCAATTCAATGAATTGCAATTTTCCTAAAAATATATTATTTGCGTAGGTACCTAAAGATAGGCAACCACGCCTAAGATTTACGATTAACTATCGCATTTTGATTTATTACACGTACATTTAGTTTTAATCCATTTGTTTTTGCAAATCAATCAATCATTTTCGATTCATTAATCTGGTTGTAACTAATACCTTTGTAAGAACTTGAAGAAGGCTTTGGGATGAATGCTGACGAAAAGGCGTCGTCATTCAGTTATATTAAAGTGTCGAGTAATGGACAGGTGGATAGTACACCTGGATTATTTATATTAATGTTCAGTGAAGTGTGTTACTTCTTAATCAATGACATAGCCAAGGACGTTGTTTTTTCCAAGTTTTACTGAATTTAAATTTTTGACTGCCTCGTTGGCCGAGTGGTCGCAATTGTACGACTTGGCAAGGGGTCTCGGACACGATTCCCGGGTCTATTGGGGTTTAAAAAAATCTCAGTATTAGCACGGAGTCTGGCATTGTGTCCGGTATATGGCGATTTATGTATTGTAACTTTCGTGAGACATACTAAATAAATTATTATGTTTTTGGCTTACTCACGTAATAATTTGACGAGGAACTCTACTAGTTTCGCGACTGGCGAGTCGCCGCGTCGCGGGTCGCGAATTGCTGCTCATGAATATGAGCCTCTAGCATGGCTTGAAACTTGTCGAGTTCCTCGTCAAATTATTACGTAAGTAAGCCGAAAACATAATAATTTATAAGGTTCTATTTACCTAATATCGATGTATTTGCTGTAAGTAAACATGAATTGGCTTTTTCCAAACACTGTTTCGAAGTTTATGGAAGCAAACGTATTATTTTACTAACCAAGTTTAACATAAAAAGTAATAGTATCTAGACAAGACTTCATTACATATTTTACTATAGATAGTGTAAATTCTGTGAATCATAAGTGACCTGTGAATCTAGCCCAACGCCTCAAGGTTTAGACCAATTTATAGACTTCCTTTAGAACTAATTCGTCCAATTTAGATGTTATCGGCTCTATAGAAATACAGGCCATCCATATCACTTCGTTTAATACCGATGCTCGTGTGGGACGATACCAAATTGCAAATGGCGACTGGTAGTGCCGATCAGAAGTTTTTTTATGGATTTGCGAATACAGAAAACTATAGTTCCATCCCACTGATATTAGATGTCATATTTTAGGTATTTGTTATTCAATCATGCGAAAACTACTCAACGGATTTCGATGAAATTTAGTTTACATGTCAACGATTTATAGGTCACTTTTTTAATAGACTGCCTCGTTGGCCGAGTGGTCGCAAGTGCGACTGCCAATTAGGGCTAGGGGTCTCAGGTTCGATTCCCGGGTCGGGCAAAGTATTACTGGGCTTAAAAAAATTCTCAGTAGTAGCACGGAGTCTGGAATTGTGCCCGGTATATGGCAATAGGCTCACCCTCTATTACATGGGACTCATAACATAAATAGTAAAAAGTGGATGTTACATAATGTGCAACTCTGCCTACCCCTTCGGGGATAAAAGGCGTAATGTTATATTATGTTATTTTTAATAGAAACACATTTAAACGAAAATGCTACTTCAGTGCCAAGAAGCTACAATAGTGTTCAATCAATTTAGATTGCTATAGTTCCGAAATAAAGCCATAGATGTCAATTCCCAGCCATTACGGTCATTCTATACAATGAAGCCGGTGTTTGGACACGCCCTAACGTTCATTACTCAATTGGGTAAACAAAAGGTCCATCAAAGAAGTAATTAATCATCAACTAGGCAGTATAGATTTACAATATGTTTGACATTTATTTAATTGATTGGTTTGTAACACGAGACAATAATTATCTAAGTGGCTTCGGGCTTTGCGGTGGCAACGAATTGAAACTGCCGAAACTATTGTTCTACTACTACAAAACGATCCAATTCCAGTAAGTGTAGTGTCAGAAACGGGACAAGAACTAAAGAATTCCGTGGTTCACAAAGATATAAAGAGCGATGACATCAGACTTGTACATTAACGTTGCTTTCCGCTTGCAATTTCACTTGTGCTACTTAAATCTTCCTGAAGATTCAGTTTATCAATTAACCAAATCGTATATAATCTGTTCAGAACTATAAGAGTTCATCACTAACAGACAGACGTCTTAACAGCTTTGTTTTTTAATATATTCCTCCCACACAAACATCGGTGTGCATTATAATCACACAAAAAAGTTAAAGACAAAAAAGTATGGAGGCTCACTCACCTATGGACGCAGTAGTTCATAACCACGAACCAACGAGCCGAGGACGTGTACTCCGTGAAGGAGTACCAGGTGTAAAGCAGGACGGTGATGTGATGGTACCAGTGCAAGAAGATTAGGGGCTTCTTACGTAGAACTATGAATACGGTGTCGCCTAACTCCGGCAACTTCGATAACACGAACATCCATGTCCAAAAGCCGGACACTTTGTCTTGTTCGATGAAACTGGAAATGAGAAAATAAATTGTTAGCTTGCAATGAACTTACACATGATACATTATTACGTATTACATCATCTTGCAACACTAGGAATAGTTCCAGATTCTGTGCAATTACTTAAGGATTTAGAAGATTGAAAAGTTAATAATAAGTACTTCTCCCAGCTCGGAAATCTTATTTAAAGCTAGTCGTACTTGAAAAGCTATTTATTATTAACCAGACTATAAAATGAAATCAAATAAATAATGTATGTAAATTAAAACGATAGACACAGAAAAGGAACTAAATACCAAATTAAAAATTCACTCGACAAGTATAGACAGAATTTTTAATTCATCTAACATTAGAATGACATTATAAAAATTAAAACAGATTGTAGGACGTCTGGGCGGTCTACAGACCTATTAATAAAAAGGAAACAATGAACTAGACGTATAAAAAATCGCAGATCATTCACCACGCCCAGGCACGATTTCAGACAAATCTGAACTGAATTCAGACTTCAGAAAAATAGATAGGCGTGACAAAGAATCAGTTTCGTCAAAGTCAAAGATAAGATCAAAAGTCAAAATACTATTCAATTGATTCATATAGAGAGATAGTTGAGGCACTTTTGAAACCTCAGGAGTCGGCCGTTTCGGTTTCGCCATCAGTGCTCGTTCCAAAATATAGAGTCAAAATAAAATTGTCTGTCAGTCGGTAAGTGACCATTGCAAAACTTAGTTTCATATGAAGAATCCTGATCCCCACATACTTGAGCTTTTATCACATTCATGCATCAGGTAACAGAAGCACGTGGGTTGAAAGTACTCCAAATCTTCGAGAATCTCTCGAAAGAGGTCATTAAGATCCCCCATAGTGGCCATTGCCGGTGTGACCAACTAACTAGATTATTGGACGATGTCTAATCAACTCGATCATGTTTCGATTACTATTACAAATGTACAAATATACGACTATTAATGCATTAGGTGGTTAACATGGCGGTGTTTTTACACGGCTGATAACAAAACATCGCGTGTGCATTGTGTATAATTTGACACGCAACCACTGGTAAAAGAACAGTCTAGTCTAGTCTGGGTTGGGTATTTTGTGTCAGTTGTGTGAGAAAAAAAGTGTGGTCATAATAATGAGTAATCTAATTAATGTAGAATCTTATGATCAAGGTGCTTAGTTTTGAAACCAATCTCAATGTCAATGCAATTTCAATCCAATAAAATCTCAATAATTATCCAATGTCAAAACTATACAACCCCTATCGTAGCTGCTAAAGTAGCATTTAGAGTACGGAATATAAAACCAAACTCAATACCATTTAGTTCATTCAATATCCACGCAATACGGATGCTATAGGCGCTAGTGTTACAACTCAAGAGTACGAAATTTCATAATGTCATAGTCGATCGATCGGAATTGAATTCAAGAGTAAGCATCCTGGTTGCAATTGAGGATATTTTTATGAAATAAGAAGCAAATGCTTATTTGCCGTCTGCTCAGACGGATCACATATGGTTCACTGAAGAACGTCGCCTGCTTAAGCTTAGACTCAGACTCCGTAACACAGAGAAACGCTGCCAACCTCACTCACACGGCCAAACAAAACGCAAGTATCGCGTCTCGTTGGTTTTCTGTAAGGCTTTAGTATCACTACGGTCGAGCCGGTAAAATCGTGACAAAGCATGGCTTTCCCACGTGAAAATTCATCATTCATTAAATTGAATAATAAAAAAGATGCAAAATAAGTTTCTGCTAATACTTATGATGTTGCAAGAAACGTTCTTAGATAGTAAGACACAACAAATGTAAGAAAACGCTTACGAAATATATGCAGAGCAGCAAAGTAAATACAATGTTGTTAAAAGATACTCTGTTTACATAATGAGAATGACATCATATTAGAAAATGTTTGGGCTAGTCATAATTATGTAGACTGGTTGTGATAATGACTCATTTTTGTGCCCATGTTTGTGTTCTTTGACTTAAATACTACTATGTAGCATCTTTATGTATATAAGATGGACAATCAATTGGAAAACATTGGCTTTGCATTGTTTGAATATTAATTGCTTTATTTTAAAACGACCAATTATCGACGGCTCATCTTCTTTTTTATATTGGAAACAGGTTAGCGTTTCTTCCTGTCTTTATCTGAAGCCACTTGGTATCGGCGCAATATATCTTTTTCCAATCTCCTCCTAAGACATCATTGTTCATTAATCATCCGAACTTCATCAAATTAATAAACATTCAAACAGTATGTTAGAATTTCTAATATTAGCCAATAACAGACTGCAGTTACTTCGAAAATATTACAAGAAAAATATAGTTTCATAGCTATTAGTATCCTATATTTATCTTTCATAAATTTTTATGTTCCCAAACAGGATTTCGTTTAACGATTTCCTATGGATAGGTATACATATTTTGTATCGATGTGTAACCTTCACTGGTATGCAATATGTATCTTCTTAAAATGAAAAGCCATGAGAAAGATGGGACGATTTAAATTAAAAGACATCAGAGAGATTAGGAGGGATGAAAAGCACTGAAACTTCAACTTTCAGTAACCACAAACTGGGTACATTTTGCTTTATCATCGAGAGGTAAAAATTAGCCCATCAACGTGACTTGGCATGAAGACCCAGCTTTGTCAAGCTACAGAAAGTTGCTTCCGTAAGTTTGTGAATGTATTCAGGATTCGATTCAAAAGAATGAATAGACTTTAATCGATGTTAAGGATTTCCGCTAATGTGTGTAGCTTACTGCGACTGAATGTAGATGGCACTACCGGTAATAAATGGAAATAATTACTATAGCTGAATAAATATAACGAATGAATATTTGGGTCGTTTTAAAGAAAACTTCATAGGGTCTGTGTCATATAAGCACATATAATTCTAGACTCCGTGCTATTTTTTATAATAACTATTGTGACTAGCCTACTCAGTAGGCTGCGCGACATCGCCGCGACCGCGCACGGTGCTCATGAGGAAGAACCCTTCTGTGGTTCGAAACTAGTAGAGCTTTTCTCAGTATATTCACGTGAGTAACCCGCGATTTTAATTAACTCCGTGATATTACTGAGAATTTCCGAAAAGGAAAAAGACATCCAAAAAAATTTTGTTTGGTCTTTAAATCGAAAGCGACCAACAAAGTTTAAAACAACTAAAATAGCTGTATCAATAGTTTAAAAGATTTTAGATTACTTAGATTACTATTATGACTATTATGATAATGTTGAAATCGCCAACCCGCATTGAGCAAGCGTGGTGATTAATGCTCTAACCTTCTCCGTGTGAGAAGACGCTTTGCTCAGCAATGGGCATTTATAGGCTGTTGATGATGACTATTATGACTGTCCAAAGCCAGAGGGCATTCATACAAGATTTAGATAACCTCCTAACACAACTACAGTAGACCTGTCTGAAACTGACGTCAAAATACTAATTCCATTCCATTCATTCATTCATTCAAATGCCTAATAACGCTAAACTTATTACAATAACAATATGAAAGCCTACACTGCGATACAATGAAATAAATTGTATATGGAACAACAATATAATCCTATTGTACTGGTTCACAATCGCTTTTAAATTAAATTTCGTGTTATAATGTAGGTAAAGTTTATATTTAGGAGTTTTGTTGATCAGATTACTTAAGTTTGTAAGCATATAGTAGGACTTTGTTACATAATATCGCTTTGTTGTAATTTCGTTGTTTACACTCAGAAAACGAGAAAAACTGCAAGTGCGACTGCCGGGCAAGGGGTCTTACGCTCGATTCCCGGGCCGGGCAAAGAATTACTGGGTTTTAAGAAAAATATCTCAGTGTTAGCACGGAGTCTGGAATTGTGCCCGGTATATGGCAATAGGCTCACCCCCTATTACATAGGCCTCATAACATAGACAGTGAAAAGTTGGTGTGTTACATTGTACAGCGGCACTTATGCTTACCCCTTCGGGGATAAAAAGTGTGATGTTATGTTATGTAAAACGAAATAGAATTTTTCGATATTCAGTATACCAGATTGTAACCTTAACTAATTTAACGATTTATTTAAAACTCGGTATCTATAAATAAACCTTATAAATTAAGCATCTCGCCCGATTACTAACAAGGTCAATTTATCAGAATTCAAGACTGACGAAATCGGTGCTATCGGATTTAAACACATCCGTAAATATGACGGGTTACCCGGGCTCCGGCTCGAAGAGCAGGAGTAGGGTACTTCTGATACTCCCTCGCGCAAATCCAAGGCGGGAGAAGTCATTGGATGATTTTTTACCCTTAAAAAAATCCCTAAATATGACATAACATAACACCGTATTAAGATAGGACCGTCTATAAACTTCTAGAAACACTAACAGGGTCAGAATAACCTACTTCTCGTGGAACAGAAACACCAAAAAAGTATTACTCAATAACGACATCAAATAAAATATAATTTGACAAGTATTACCATAAACATCTCCATAATAAAATTTATGACAAAATATCGAGATGACCACAAAACAAGACCAGTAGGTTAATCAAACTGGTATTCTACGCATACGCATGGCATTCGACGCAAGCGCATGATTTTCTCAGTGACGTAACAACGGCACACCACTTTCTATTTCCATTGGCCAGTATTTGAGCTATGGATGCTGATGTAATTTTTGCCGTAGAATGTTTACACCGCTTTCTGTGTTCTGTTCTGACACAGATTTTTACTACAACCTGTATTTTTTATCTAGACAAATCGTGTCTTCACGTAATCGAGACAGGACTGGTTTGTGCTAGAAATTCTGGTGACATTATTTTTATATGACACGTAAGAATAATCGCAACGACTTTTTCTTTTCTGAAACCGAATATAGAATGCTGATTTATCGGTTTCGAAGACCAAGTCAATGCGTTCATCAGATCCTGGAGAGAGAAGAAAGAACCAAGTAAATTTAGTGTGGGAGAGCCATGCTTCGGCACTAATGGGCCGGCTCGACCGGAGTGATACCACGGCCTCA